GTTATGGAAAAACTTATTTCAAACAATGCATAACATGCTGGTTTATCTACACTTTAACAATCCACTATAGCTTTCTTTCAACCTATTATTAGAGTTTATCATTAGAAAAATAAAATTCCCAAAATTAATTTTTATATGGTTTCAAAGAGGCTGTATTTGTTTGCCTGTACTTTAAGAGCAAGAGCAGTACCGTCTAGACAACTTTAGACCAATTTTTACTTCCCGAGCGTAAGCAAAGGAAGTATTGTAATCGAGTCCGTCGGCCGACTCTCTACTTTTACGTTTTTTCGATCTTTCATGACCCCTAGAAGACGAAGAAATAGGTCTCCCATTTCCGTCTGTCTGTCCGTCTGTCCGTCTGTTCGTCTGTCCGTCTGTCCGTCTGTCCGTCTGTCCGTCTGTCCGTCTGCCGTCCCGGATTTTTATTAGACAGATAATCTCCGAAAGTACTCGACCGATTGTTGTGAAATTTTGTACTTATATTAAGAATATCATGTAGATGGTAAAACGCTAACCAAAATTTGTCTAATCATCCCCACCACTAATGCGATGACGTCACTTCAAAATTGTACATAGTAAATGGGTTTTCAATTGTATAAAATAACATAGTCCTACACATGTAGTTTACAACTCCGAATCGACTTTTCACCCGAAACGTCCAGATTTTGGGAAAAAAAATCAAAATTATAAAACAACATTTTGAAATTTAATTTTTAATCTGCTAACCAGAATGCTTTGAAATGTTGCAGATGTTTTAAGGCTATAAAGAGCATCATAAATCTTTAGTCAAAAAATATTTGCTTATCCCCTCCAAAAATTGATGACGTCAGCTCGAAAGTTTGCCGAATAAATCCTATCTAAACTGTAAAAATATGATGAGTCTGTACTTGTAATTTATCACTCCATTCATATTTTTTGGATTTGCATATACAGGGTGACTCAAAAAAATTAATGAATGCGTAAATATATTTTATTGATTTAATCAGGAACTACAAAACCGAATGCTCTGAAATCTTGCAGATGTTTTAAGGTCATAAAGAGCATAATAGATAGATAGATAGATAGATAGATAGATAGTATATTTGTGTTAGAATACAAGTATTTACACACGTCAAAATAAAATTACATTCATCGTTAAAATAAAGAATTAATTTGTCATATATATATAATACATAAATACATAAAACATAAAATAAAATTATCTACTTAAATAGTAAATTAAATTAAATTACACAGCTTCTGCAACTAAATCACTAAAATTATTTCTTAAAAATTCATCACAATTGTAGAAAGTTTTTTCTACGAGATATTTTTTTATTTTATGTAAAAAGATTTTTGGTGGAAGTTGTTTAATTAATGTGGGAATAATATTATAATATTTAATAGCTAAATAATGCGTTCCATCTCTAGTTTTAGTCAACCTTAATGTATTATATGCAACCATCTCCGTTCTTGTATAATATTGATGACTTTCATTGAGTAACGGGAAGGATGTAAGATTAGTGACAATATATTCCAAACATTTATAAATAAATAAAGAGGGTAATGTGATAATATTCAGTTCCCTAAAATACTGCCTGCAGTCGTCTCTATATCCAATGTTAGCTATGACTCTGACAGCTCTTCGTTGTAGTTTAAACACACTTTGAAGTGAGGACGAGTGACCCCAAACCAAGATACCATACTGAAGATGAGAATGTATTAGAGCAAAATATACTGTTCTAAGAAAAGTTTGTGAGAGACTGTTAGACATGAATCTTAAAAAATATATACCTTTGGAAATTTTATTTGAGACTTGTTCTCCATGTTTGTGCCAGTTCAATTGACAATCGATGTGTAAACCAAGAAATTTTGTAAAGGCTGAATAGGTGTTGTCTAAAACAGTATGTTTTAAGGTGAATAACATCTGGACAGTTTTGTCTTTATTTAAGGACAATCTGTTGATTACAAACCATTCTTCAGCTAAGGTATTAAGTTGCTTCTTCTTGGTAGTAAGGTTATCTAAAGATAAATCTGATGTACTCATAGTTGTATCATCAGCATACAAAATTATGTCAGTCTGATTAAGAAAGTTTGGTAGATCATTTATATATAGTAAGAAAAGTACCGGACCCAATATAGACCCTTGGGGCACACCATATTCAACATTCAATTTGCTTGAAAGTTTTCCATCTATTTTAACACATTGACTTCGGGTACTAAGATAAGACAATAGTAGCTTCGTAGCACTAGGATGAAAATTATAATAAAATAGTTTTCTTATTAGAATGTCATGGGAAACACAATCAAACGCTTTGCTGAGGTCCAGAAAAGATGTGGAGTAAAATTTTTTAGATTCAAAAGATTGAAAAACATTATTAATAAAATCTAAAATTGCTGATATGGTAGAGCGACCTTTGGAAAATCCATATTGGCACTGCGATAAGATATCATTTGCTTGTAAATAATCTAAAATTTGATTAAGCAGTAATAAATGTTTAGTCAAAATATATTTGCTTATCCCCTCCAAAAACTTGATGACGTCAGCTCGAAAGTTTGCCGAATAAATCATATCTAAAATGTACAAAATATGATGAGTCTGTACTTGTCATTTATCACTCCATTCATATTTTTTGGATTTGCTTATACAGAGTGACTCAAAAAAATTAATGAATGCGTAAATATATTTTGTTGATTTAATCAGGAACTACAAAACGGAATGCTCTGACATCTTGCAGATGTTTTAAGGTTATAAAGAGCATAATAAATGTTTAGTCAAAATATATCTGCTTATCCCCTCCAAAAACTTGATGACGTTAGCTCGAAAATTTGCCGAATAAATCATATCTAAAATGTACAAAATATGATCAGTCTATACTTGTGATCTATCACTCCATTTATATTTTTTGGATTTGCATATACAGGGTGATTCAAAAAAATAAATGAAAGCGTAAATTTATTTTACTGATTTACTCAGGAACTACAAAACCGAATGCTTCGAAATCTTGAAGATATTTTAAAATTATCATAAGCATGGTAAATTTTTGATCAAAATGTATTTGGTCGTCCCCCCTAAAAAATTTATGACGTCACCACAAAATTTTGCTGAATAAATCCTATCTAAAATGTACAAAATATGGTGAGTCACTTCTTGTGATTTATCATTCCATTCAAATTTTTTCGATTTGCATATACAGGGTGACTCAAAAAAATTAATGAATGCGTAAATTTATTTTATTGATTTAATCAGGAATTACAAAACCGAATGCTTTGAAATCTTGGGAATATTTTAAAGTTATTATAAGCATGGCAAACTTTTGTTCAAAATGTATTTGTTCATCCCTCCTAAAAAAATTGATGACGTCACCCTTAGATTTTTGGAAAAAAAAATTAAAATTATAAAACAATATTTTGCAATTTAATTTTGTATTTGCAAAATCGAATACTTAGAAATCTTGCAGATGTTTTAAAGTCATGATAAACATGATACATTTTTAATTAAAATATATTTCCAAATCCTCTTTAAAAAATTTATGACGTCACCTCAAAATTTTGCTGAATAAATCCTATCTAAAATGCAAAAAATATGATGAGTTTGTACTTGTGATTTATCATTCCATTCATATTTTTTAGATTTTCTTAAGAGGTGGTTCAAAAAAATTGATGAAGTCAATTTATTTTATTGATTAAATTAAAGGCAACACTTATTATTAGTATTACACCCCAACCAACCCAATTTGGTAGACACAAAATTTGTTAAAGGAAAAACTCGGTTGAAACATAAGGGTAGCACACTTATTTACATCGACTTTAACATTACAGACCTGCATTTGTTTTATGCGCTCACTTGGTTCCGCGAATGTGGAATAGACATGTTTATAATCAACCAATTGTGAATTTCACCGTCAAGAATTAAAATAAAACCCAATGTTTTATATAATAAGCGGAAGTCGAAGCAATAAAACCGATGGTCGTTTTGTTTACAGTTTCTCTGTTTGACTCTCACGTATGCTGTTACGCTTGTCATCTTAAATTAAGAATGTTTATACATAAACGATTTTCAGTTGCCCCTCATATTACTAGACAGCGAATTTCTGTTGGGCTACGTCACGATTATAGGGGGGGACGTGCTGGATCGCCGGGTGATAGATAATCACCGAATTTAATCGGTACTAATTCCATAACTATAATTAACGATTTATTAATCAAACGGCTAAGTAAATGAGAACTGGAATTAACAGCAGAGTGCAACGAAACAGCGTTATTCTAATCTCAAATAAACGAAGTGCAGTCCGCAACCGCAATGAATTCGCATCCCGTACGAGCCGTACCGAGTTTGGCCTTGCCTAGCCCGACAGAAATACGCTCTCTAGATATTACACACCGGCGCCGTATACGTGAGTAAATTGTTTCGTTATTTTATTGATTATAAGAAATCAATATTCAAAACGACCCAATTCATTTTCCCGAAAATTTGGGAATACAATAATTTTATTCTTAGTATTACACTACATCTATCCCAACTGATATACGTGTCCTTGCAAAAATGTTGATGACGTCATCACAATTTTTTTTTTAAATTCCCACTACAAAAATGTAATGAGAAAAAAAAACACAATAGGCATGCAGTCGTCAAGTTTCCGACAGCGAGGGAAGTACTGTCTAAACTCTTTAGACCAATTTTTTGATTGAGCAATCAGTTGAGAAACTTCAAACGATGCGGATAGTGCTTTCTGAGATGATTTATATCTTGAACTACCTGATCCAAGCTTAATTTTCTTCACATTTTTTAATTTTTGGGAGAAGAATTTGGTCGATCAACCACTTAAATTAGGATGGTTTTTAAGTGACGTTAACTTACGCTCGGGAAGTAAAAGTGGAAACAGTGGTACAGTGAACGTTAACTAAACAATAAAATATTCCTGTTGATATTTGTACCAAATATTCCTGTTGATATTTGTTTTCAATTGTACACAACCTTCACACGAATTAATAAAATACTGCATACAACTTTAAAATCCATGAAGGTAAGTGTACCTAATTATATAAGTGTCTACAATTTCTTCATATAACAGTAGATTTTTGTACAGTGAGTTTGTTTGGTGCGTACGTTGTTATGAAGAAAGTGTTTCTTTTTAATTTTTTGTGGTTCTTATGTTGCGTCATAACGGCACAAATAGGAACCCCCATTGGACGAACTTTTTTAGAAGATTTTTTAGCACCTTTTAGAATTTTCAGACGACGGTCAATGGAAATTCAGTTAGAGTCGAAAAGGAAAAATACTTCAAAATTTAGAAAAAGAGTTAGTTTTTTCTTGAGTATGACAGTGTATGACTTAGATTTTACAGAAATTTCAACGACAAGTGCCAAAATCAGAAGCCTTCCCCTGTGACGTGCGAAATACACGAAGTGCCTCTAGACCACATTCAGTTCATAAACTTAGACCTGGCGACATAGATGTTATTGGGGCATTAGGTGATAGTTTAACAGCTGGATTTGGCGCTACAGCAATAACTCCTTTCGAATTGTCACTCGAAGAAAGAGGAAAATCGTTTGCCATTGGTTTTTATAAGTGTTTTTTTTTTTTTATTTTTAATACGTAACGTCGTTGTAGGTGGTGAAGCTAACTGGAAAACTTACGTAACCCTGCCTAACATCTTAAAAGTCTTCAATCCTAATTTAGAAGGATATGCCTTGAACACTTCTTTGTCCACACAAGAGGGATCCCAGTTGAACGTAGCCGAAGGGCTTGCTATTTCTGCAAATATGCCTTACATGACCAAAGAACTCATCAGAAGAATCAAATCAGACAAAAAAATTAACGTGGACGAGGACTGAAAGGTGTGAGAATAAAGGGTTAACCAACACTGTAACACTAGTTTTTAGATGGTCACAATTTTCATAGGATCAAATGATGTCCGTATATAACATTTGCTACGAAGAGAATCTGGTGGCAAGTCTGCAACGACACAGAGAGGACATAATTGAAACATTGCGACTTCTTAGAGACAGTTTACCTAAGACTATCGTCAATTTCGTTATACCTCCAAGTAATACTAGATTAACATGGTACTTAAATGGTCACGAGAATTTTTACAGACCTCATCAAAGCATTAGCTGAGTTAAAACTAGAAGAAAATCTCTTCTGCCACCTTTTTCAACGTGCCGCATGTCCTTGTTTATTTGGATTACCCAATATGAACAGGAAATCCACCATAGAAAATTTCATGTATGAATGGCAACGTGTGGACATGGAAGTTTGCTGTCTTGACGAATTCGACAGAGACGATTTCACTGTGGTGGTTCAACCATTTGCGTTAAATTATACTTTTCCGACGACAATGTCAGAAGCCGTCGATTTGCGGTATTTATCCATAGATTGTTTCCATTTGAGTCAAAAAGCACATGATATAGGTAATAAAATTTTACAAGAGTGGTTTTATAATTTTATGTAAATTACAGCTGGTAACTAGTTGTGGAACAACCTTATGGAACCTGTTGGTATGAAGTCTCGACTTGAACATAAACGACTTTTTGAGAAGTTTAAGTGTCCGATGGAAAAAAATCCTTATATTTTTACTAGACGGAATAGTTTTCGGTAAATTTTGTACAACTTTAGGAAAAAAATAAGTTTAAGAATAATCAAATTGCGAAACGAAGGCTACTACATCATTTTTGAATGTTATCAATACTGTTTCGAGGGTAGTAAATACGTTCACAGGCAAGTTTATTTGTTAAAAACAGAAAAAGACTTGAATTTAAAATATCTAGACGGTGACTAAAAAAACCGTATCACAGTTGTAAACAAAACCATCTTTAAAAATTTCTGGGTAAAATTTAATTTCATAATAAACATATTATTATACTTAAGATTTATGTAGATAGTAAAACGCTAAGCAAAATTTATCTAATTATCCCCAGTAACAAATTGATGAAGTCCACTTATTATTTAAATTGTATGGAATTCCTGTACTTGTGGTTTACGAATCTACCTTGATTTTGTGTATTATTACTAATATATTTGTTTATTGTTTAATCCGTCTTGTTCTTTAGACACATAGCGCAAGTGGCTTATTGGTAGCTCTTTTTTTTAACAAAAAATCAAGAACAGTTTACCCAGTTGTTTCGAAAATGTAAGAATACAGTGTTGCACCCGTCTACATTTAATAATAATATTACGACCGTTTTGCTTCATTGTAACTTATTTATAATTAAATTAATCTTCTCCCCTGTTTTGATGAGACAAAAATCAATCAAATTTTCTTTCCTTCAACGCAGGTCCTTTAATTATAAAACAGAAGTTTGGCATAATTAGAAAACATTAAACTGAATTGTAACAGTGTAATTACATAATAAACGCAACCGTTCTAGGTTACTAAGTAAAAACAGTATTTATAAGTAGTAATATAGTACAAAATTTTTAGAGTGTATTTAGAAATTTTGGTTTTGTTTACGCCTTAAGATTTCATGAGAATTAAACAGCAACATCAATATAGTTATTATTCTCATTAATAAAATAGTTTAAGGTCAAGTTCTACTAGTCATTATCGGTAATGATTATAGCGTCTGCCGTCTGAAATATCTAATGTATTTTCTTCGCGATTCTATTTGTTTTGTGAAGTATATTATTATTTATTAATATAAATTGTAATCATACATGAAAACTGGATAAGTACTACGAGAACTAGGCGATATGTACAGTTACATTAATTTTTGTACCTACTTCAAAAGTGAAAATTGTTTGATTCTTTTGCAAACTGTGCTGATATCCCATGTACGAAACAGCTTTAAATCAATCATTTACTTTTAAAAACCAAAGGCTAATTTTTAAATTTGCATTGTAGACTTTGGTCAAATACATATATATATTAGGATAAATTTAACAAATTTGTACTAGGACGTCATTAATTTTCTAAAGGGGACAAAAAATAGATGGTAGTGGTTGTTCTGTAACCATAAGGCAAAGTGTAAAATTTGGTTTTATACATTATAGATGATTTACCATGTTCACGATAATTTTAGCACGCTTGCAAAAAAACTATAGGTTTTCTATAATAACTTATTACTAATAATAATAATAATAATAATAATTTTATTTTCCAACGGGAAAAACTCTAGATACAGGAAAAGTGAATATTTGTTATGTGCATAGCAAACTACTGAATAGAACTTAATCTAGAGCTCCTTATATATGTTGATGGAAAATCTATGTAGAGTGTTTGTATCACATACACATTTACCTGCTCTTATGAATAATTAAAAATTATCGAATTAGTTTACGTTCACTTCTTTTGACAGATCCACAAAAATATAACAGGGTGTAAAATAGAAGAGAGGAACTTGTTATAACTTGTTTCTTAATGGATATTATTTTATATATATAGATTCCATGATTCCATTTCGTGTCAGCATGGAAAAATATTATCTTCAAAAGTACCAAATTAGTTTGTCTTTCATTGGCAATATTATGCAGTTTATCTGTTATTTCACTTTATAGAAAACTGAAGCCGCAGAATAAACCCCTTTGCAAATCTGAAATTCAGCTTATAGACTATTTCCTCAGTTGTTTCAAAATCTTACTCCCATTCCTAGTCGGAAGTTGACTATGAAAGAGTCTGTAAATCTCATACTGATCGGGTTGATGCTGTTACATAACATAATCGTCAAAGTTTTGCGGTTGTCCTCTTTCCACTGGTACCAGTTTGTCGATATCAGCGTGTTATATATGTTTTCAGACTGTAAAACATGTTATAAATCAGATGATTCCCCTTTGAACAATTTCAGAATTACCTCGGTCTCAAAAGTTTGTCCAGCAGTAATCACACTACAGAATGTAGAAACCGCAACAATGGTGAATGACACAGTACGCAGAAAGAGAATCGCCGGAGAGTTCTCTGTGATCTGGAACAAAATTTAACAAAAGCTTAAACACGAAAAACGTTGCTTACTTGCAAAAAACCAAGAAGGAGACTCATCCCGATGAGCAAACCACCAAAACTGAAAGGTACTATCAGATGTTTCATATTAGCTAAAGCCGTAGTTTTCCATCTACAAAACAAAAATAGCTCAAGTTTTAAACGTTAAACTCGCTTAATACCTTATAATGTCTTGGTGTCTTTTGATTAGAACCTTGAGTCTCAATTCAATTTCGATTTGGTGTGGTCTACTCAATATTCCAACTTCATCGCTTTGTATAAAGTCTTGACAAATCGCTTCTACGAACTTGTTGAAAATATACATTTGGAATTTAACGTGTTGAGTTCCGTAAATAAGCTGATAACCCTGGGCGACTATGGTGAACGACATCGCAAAGCTGGTTAGATTAAAAGCACACCCAAGAAAATGACTATAGTGTGGAAACCATTTTTTAAACAGAAAAGCCGGGAAGGAATGCTCTGCTTCTCGCTGATTTGGATAAATCATGGTGCTGGCCCAAATGAGACCCATCGCGCTGTTCAAAAAAACAAATGTGTTGAGAAATTTCGACTCCTTTAGAATCCTCGTTTTAGTATCTTCATCTGCAGAATCCACAGCCCACAAATCAATTACACTCATTGTGTCCTCCACTAAATAATTTCTAGTCAAAAGCGCGAAAATGCCCAAGATGACCTGTAGTGGAAAAATTATTTTCGAAAAAACGCAGTTTGGAATCGTACCCAAAGCATCTGCAGGAAAAGAGCTCCATAATATACTATATCAATTGTCTCTGGAGCAGAAACCATGTAAAAAATTTGAGCGGCCGAGAATGCTACGTAAAAGAATAATAGTATCTTGAGTACGATCTTCGCAAGTCTTGAGTGATAAATTGTGCTGCCCAAAAAATAAATCAGGTATAGGGGGTCGCCTAAAAGTGACAAGGATTAAGTATTGCTTTCATTTCAGATTTACGCACCCCTGATTGGGTTTTGGTGGTGGAAATCCATGATAATAAAAAACCAACTTGAAAAAAGTTAAACCATATTTTATATCAAAATTTGGTTTTCAATAAATGCCAATTAAACGCGAACTGTTATCAGTGGAAAATTCTGTACGAGATTATATATATTATCGAGAAACTTCAGCGAGTGAATTTATTCGTATTGCTGACTATTAAGGGTAATTTCACTTGTTTCATACTGTACCGACTTTGCATCGGTGTTGTTAAATATTTTATACAAGTGACAATATTATGTTACACAGAAAGTTTCGTCCACAATAAAAGATTTTCTTTCATCTTTTTTGTGTAAATACTTAAAGGAATTTCTTTTTTCTATGACCACAATGAAAGTTTTCTCATTCGAAAGAGATATAGGTAGATCGAATTCTAAGAGTTGCATTCAACTCAGAACTATATCAGTTTTTAAGGTTGTTATTTGTTACTAAAAACAAATGTTATTCCTGAGAATGTTAGTTATTTTAATATATAAAATCAGGCACATCTGTCGTTAACTATTTCAAATTTACTCATATTTTTGCGTTCGAGGATAAACTTGGAAAATATTGCAATTCTGTCCATGTATACTTAATTTCTGGCTCAAGTTTTGGTTCGTTCTTAATTGCAAAATCTTCAAAGTTTGAAGATTTTTCCAAGGTGTTCAATATCTTCGTCTGATTCATGATCAGAATCTGCGTTTACCGAAGGGACAAAGGATACAATGAATTATGAATTCCCCGTGTTCGAAAACCCTAATTGTGCAAAAATAGGTTCAAAATAATGTAAAAACGTTAAAAAACAATTAAAAGCATGAAGTATGAATTTATTTTCTGAGTGAAACAACAAATCATTTGTATTGTTACATTGAACGGATATTTAAAATCGGCGTGGGTTAAACTCAACAATTTATTTCTTTATAACTCGAATTACACGACTGATTATTACACAGCGATTATGTAAAAATAATTCCGGCGT